AATAATAATAATAAATAAGAAAGAATGAGAACGAGAACGCACTGCTATACAGTGCTGCTCCATGGAATCCAGTCGCTTCACTCCTGTTTGCGCCTTGCAGTTGCACCATTTCTCAGGTACGCGACTGGATCTCAGATCTCACTGCTCAGTGAGAAGCACTGTACAGTCATAATCAGTGTACTGGTGAGCCGTGCCTGAACCCGAACCCGCGCATGCAGACATGCACCCACTGTGACCCCGCTTGGCTGATTGCGAATATTACAGTCATTTATCACTCCCTTAGTATTGACTCCCATTGATTTTCGCTATACCTAAGCAGTCAAATATTCCTGCATATTTCACTCCTTAGGGCTATATTGACTGCTTATATTTGACTGCTTAGGGGTTGCGCAGTTGAACGGTGCCTAGTGCAGCATTGTCACTGCATGAGTAGGTGGTGGTGCAATGGTTGTGCAATCATAAAACCGGGATTCATGAGGTTATCGTTTTGGAATTTGAAATACGGACTGTTTGTCGTGATAAATCTAATATTGACTTCGTACTTGGTCAGTATAGGAAAGAAAAACCTCCTAAAAGACCTCGGCTTCGCCTCGGTCTTTTACTCGGTTCTTATTTCCTATATTGACCTCGTACTCAGTCAATATTAGATACGTATATGACATGTACTCAATCTGCGGCCAGCATGCTGTTTCGTTCTTTGTGAACGCATCAGCGCAGCACAGAGGAAATGAGGCAGAACCTGATAGCAATGAAAATAAAAATTTCCAATCGGGCCCGAACGTACCTTGCCAGAGTGCTCAAACTGACAAGTCAGTGAGCTCTGCGTAATGCAAACAGCAAAGGCACTACCCCCCCCCCCCCCCATGAAAGTGCTCAACTACTACAAGAGCAGGAGGGAAAATACTCATGTATGTGTACATGCGTCCGGATCGGAGCTTTGTGAGCAGCTGCAGTTCCTGCAATAATTGGCAGTGATCATACATGTAAATGCTACTTTCTACTGCTCCACCTACATGGACATTGTAAAAATGTAAATGTTTCCTTTTGTGCTTCAATTTGATCTAGGTTAGGTCTCCTTTTTGTAGTGATCTACAGGTCTTTGTGTGCTAGTACATGTACGTGTACATGTAGTTGAGTTCATCCGAGCTCCCCATACCAAAATCTCCCTTTACACTTTTTCTTTTTCCACCACGGCTTATAATCGATCACCAGCTCTCTTCTCTTCTAAGTGCGTGTACGTGCGTGCGTGAGTGCATGCGTGTGTGTGTGTGTGTGTATGTGTGATGTCTGTGATGTGTATGTGTGCGCGCGCGCGTGTGTGTGTGTGTGTGTGTGTGTGTGACATGTGCTCGCCAGCAACATCACCAGCAGAGGCATCTTCTGACCCACTGGAGTCGCCAGTTACGAACATTATGTCCCGCGAACGCAGTAGACAACATGACCTGTCCCAATATCGCCCCTACTGTTCCGAACCTGCTCAACCCCCCATGTGGTCCGCATAGCCAGAATATGGCAGCGTGTCCAAGGTGTGTGTGTGTGTCCGTGCATGTGTGTGTGTTAGATTCAGTGCCCAGGGGGTGTCTGTGGCAGGTCCTCGGCCGTGCGGGAGTACCAGAAAAGCTTATCAACATCATCCGGCCGTTCCACGACCCCATGTCAGCATCGGTGCAGTTCAACAACATATTATCAGACCCGTTCAGCATTGGCAATAGTCTTCGCCAGGGGTGCTCTATGGCGCCGGTCCTTTTTAATATCTTTATGTGGGCCGTGATGACCCAGTGGCAACACCGCGTCAGGAGAGTTGACGGGGTTGGCTTCGAGCTCCGCTCAGCATACAGCAGCGATCTATACCGTAAACCCCGCCGTGACGACCAACACCATTGCCTAACAGATTCCCAGTTTGCTGACGACTCTTGTCTATTCGCTACGACTCGGTCTGGAGCGGGGTCAGCATTGTGCTGTCTTCACGAGGTGGCGTCGGGATTCGGCTTGACCATCAGTGCAACGAAGACTCAGTTTGTAGTTGTTGGCCCCGACATCACGCCTACTGACCGCGCTCCCCTCCAACTTGGTCAAGCGGAGGTGGAATGCGTACCGCATTTCAAATACCTCGGTTCTGTAGTGGACAGCGGTTGCCGTTCGTCCCGGGACATCGCCGCAAGGATTGCCCAAGCCTCCAGGGCCTGCGGTGCTCTTCGGAGGTCTGTATTCTCCAATCCACATGTGCTGATGCACACCAAGCGGTGCGTATTCAATGCTTGCGTTCTGTCCCTGCTGTTGTATGGCTCTGGGTGCTGGACGCCCCTTCAACATGACCTGCAGAAGCTCTCAACCTTCAGCATGAGGTGCATCCGATCCATCCTCGGGGTCTCTCGAAGCCGGATGTGGGACGAAAACATCACCAACGAAGAGCTGCTGGTGCGCTGGGGAGACTCCGAGACGATTAAAGACAAAATTGCACATCGGCGGTTGGAGTGGTTGGGGCATGTGGCGCGGATGCCGGACAACCGCATCCCAAAACAGGTACTGTTTGGCTCCTTCTTGCAGCGTCGCCCAGCACATGGCCCACGCCGCAGATGGAAGGACTGTGCTGTCCGGGATCTACGTGCCCGTGGCGTGGAGGCATCATGGTATGATGTTGCATGTGAGTCCCGCGCGGAGTGGCGCAGCACCTACCAAGAGCCTGACAATGTGCCTGAGCCTCCGCCCCGAGTGGTATGTACGGTATGCGGACGGGATTTTGCACGGAAAGGAGACATGGCTCGGCATAAGTGTCTGGAGGAGCGTGCGCGGCCTGTGTCTGAGCAGCGGGGCGCCAGTCAGTGCGGGCGGTGTGGGCGGTGGCTGAGAAGCCGCGGTGGCTTGGTCCGGCATGTGTGTGCCTCAACGGTGGATGCCGCAGTGCCACCTGGAACTACCGGAGCGTCGGCACCGGCGGAGGGATGTTGTGCCGCGCATTGTGACAGGTGTGGTCGCTGCTTTCGCAGTGTCCGGGGACGGGGCAGGCATCGCTGTTCAAGGGTGGCGCATAGACCAACAGCAGAGGAGCGCTCAGCCTTCCAGCACGTGTGCATATGCGGCAAGCGGATGCGACTGCCCGTGCACCTGGAGCGTCATCGAGCGTCGTGTCCTCTCTCTCTCTCTTCTCAAGTTTCCCAGTGATGGGATCACGTGACCCTTTTGCGGCAGTGACTCTACAGGACAGGACAGGACAGGTGTGTGTTAGTGTGTGTGTGTGTGTGTGTGTGTGTGTGTGTGCGTGTGTGTGTATGTGTGTGTGTGTGTGTGTGTGTGTGTGTGTGTGTGTGTGGGTGTGTGTGTGTGTGTGTGTGTGTGTGTGTGTGTGTGTGTGTGTGTGTGTGTGTGTGTGTGTGTGTGTGTGTGTGTGTGTGTGTGTGTGTGTGTGTGTGTGTGTGTGCAATGTATACTTCTAACATTGCGGCAATGGCAACCATTATACATGTCAACAAACAATGGATCACTCGTAATGTTTTGCTACTCTGAGTTTCATGCACTGTGTGCAATCATCAGGCAAACAATATTCAATGCAGACTGGTCAAAGCAAAATGGGAATTTAAGGTGGATGCAGGCGGAAACAAGTGTAAGGCTTAGCGGGACCCCGCTATATATCTTGTCTTTATCGCACTAAATCACCCCCTTCTCTTAGGCCGTATGATGCGCAAGCCCACGTTGACGCCGAGACCATAGGTCGGTGTTTTGGGCTTGCCTCTCCAGCACAGGCTTGCCTTGCAGCTCCTACTCTCCCTGCTGTTTTGTCATTGCATTTTCTATTGTCTTCTCCCCTTCTGACGAGTAGGTTGCGTACTTGGTAAAAAATAAAATAAAAAGAATTATACGGAACTTCGGAAGTGCACAGTCCAGCACAGAACGATGTACTGAGAGTGAGAAGACAGCAAAGGGAGGACGTGAGTCACGTGACAATACAGAGGGGAGGCGGAGCAGCCTGCAGATGAACTGGGCCTACCTTCTGGGACCGTGGGTCTAGGGTTCAGCGGCAGGACCAAGCATCGATGTGATGTTCATGTAGAGGAAGATTAATACTAGTGAGATGGCAAATTGTCTGGAGTAACGTGGAGTTGCAGAACGTGTACCGAAAGACTAGGAGAACGGCTCGGAGAGAGAGAAAGAGAGAGAGAGAAAGAAAGAGAGAGAGACAGGGGGGGGGGGGGGGGGGGGTGGAGAGAAAATACTGCCAGTAGTCAGCAGGTGAGTTTCTTCTCCAGTTAGCAGCTTTGATTCCACAAGTGGCACAACGATTGTTTTTTTATTTTAATTTATCACATTGCACATACCCATACAAAGACAAAACAGAAAAAGACAAAGGGTAGATCTACGGTGTATGGGTCAAGAGGAGATACTGCGAAGCACTACATAGCATTTTACAAATTGTCTAAGAAATTATCTGTGGCAATGACAATGGTAATGTGGTTTCTCAGTATATGAAACTCGGGTTACCCCTATGACTTTTAGTAGTTTAATAATTATTGCTGTACAATGACTATTAATTAAATTTTACCATGATTACAGATACACGAGATTGCCAAGGCACGGCGGCAGCTCAGAGTCACACTACCCTTGTTTTACTGCAACTGGCACACCTGATGCATGGTGCCTGTTGCCGAGTACTTGAACATCTGTTGAGTAACACGCTGCACTGTGCTGCAGCCGGCCGGTGCATGCAGGGCGTGCGGACTGCGCAGAAATCGTGTCAGTGCCAGTGGTGCATCCACTGTACTGATCCAGTCATTCCTCACACTCACTGCAGCCTGCATCATAGTGCATGTCGCACTGCACCGCACGTGCATACGTCACTATACAGTATACAGTCAGTAGTCTGCACGCGTACAGCTCGCTATGCACCGGACCCTGTGGCTGTGACTTGTGAGTACGGCTAGCGCTGTCCTGGGTGCGAATGAAACAGCTGACGTAAACTAACAACTGTCTAGCGCTGAGTGCGACAAGCGACTGCTCTAGTAGCCCGGAAACATACGATCTTCCTTGTTGTTGAATTTTTCTTTCCAGGTGACGGAACGCAGTTCGTGCTCCAGCTCTGGTGTTCTCTGTGCCAGTCGTTTCAAACCGTTTGTCCGTTCTTCTGGGGGTTCTGAAACTCAATTTTAGATACGCGCCCTCCTGATCTTCCATTAGTGGAGAAGTCAGCATCCGCCCCGGACCAACGATTGCCGGGAGAAGCTGAAAATATTCATCCCTGTACAAATCAGATTGGCAGTTACTCGCTGTTGGGTTTGCAGTTTGGACCAGATTTAATTTATTTGTTCATCAGCACTGGTGCATAGCCACCGCACAGGATGCCGAGCAGCAGAGTGGAGCATGATGACTCCTCGTCATCGGAGCGGTGTAGCAGTTTTAGCGGCGACGAGCGCTTCACCCGCCGAGACTATGGGAGCGATGGCAGAGGAAGCGGCAGCGGCGTTTCCGTTCGCCAACCTAGAGCGATTCACCCTGCGGACCAAAACACTGGACAGCGGGGCAGGGGCAGATCTACGCGACAGGCTGGTGGCAGTATGGAGGGAGAGGCAGCCGAGAAAGCCCTTCGCAATGCCCGCGAGAGACACCGCTGCCAGCAAATCATCCAAGCGTATACTGAACTGAAATCCGTGCTTCCCTCGCTGCACTACGAGGAGTTGTCTCGGGTGGAAATACTGAGACGGACGATCCGCTATATGAACTATTTGGTCGAGTGTCGAGACACGGGAGAGTGTGATGAAGACAGAGCGGCCGAAGTAATGCGAGAAAGCCACAAGAAACGCCGCCTGGAAGGTGAGGGAGTTATCTCTGTCGTGACTGGTTTGATAGTATTATTATGATAATGCGGCAGGTGTGTTGGTTTGGTTACTAGTAGTAATGATGTGTCTCCGCGCATGTGCTGTTCCATGACTTCGGGTCGAGTGAGTTTACTTGGTTTGTCAATAATCTCCGTCTGTTTACCTTTGGTAGTTTGGATCTGCTGCGGGGGACTTTGAAATGACCGTGTCTTTGAAATGACCGTGTCTTTTCCGTGATCAGGTCTAAATGAGTAGCTATCCGAAATATTATTATGACTCTTCGGGCGTGTCGCGCCTGCGGAAAGTAAATGCCAGGGCGTGAAAATGATACGGCTGGTGCACGGTACTGCAAACGGGACGGCATTTGCACCTTGGTCAGATCGCAAGGCACTGAAAACCGTTCTTGAAACTTCTCCTCGAGTGTTTGAATGACAATCATTTTATAAGGAAGACTTATGCACCAGCTATTTCAGCTATGCTCGTCGCTCATGCTGACCAGAAACACGTTCGCTGCAGCTCCGTGAAATCGATTAACTGTGCGGCAAGTACCGGTGAATATAATAGACGAGTACAATGTCATAATAATTACAAGTATATTGGTGTTGAGTGCTGCGGTCTCAGAGTATCGGTGTTGTGTTTGATTCGGACTGTAAGAACCTGCAATCGTTCGCTCGCTGTGGCCTATCTCCCGTTGAGCGTCTTGAAATGGTCATTATCGTGAAGTAGTTGTAAGAGTCTCTTTGCAGTGCGAGCTGCACTCTGCAGCCTGCGTTGATGGACAGGTCAAGCGAGGTGTGTAGGTCGACACCTGAAGTCGTTGACGTTGATCCTGCATGACAACTGTTTCATGAATGGATGGCTCGTACTCCATACGCAGTGCACAGCAGAAAACTGCACAGGGTGTTTGATTGTTTGTCTTCCTGCGCCTGTCGCCAGCACAACGGGGAAAATAGAGACGCACCTTGAACTTTTGCCAAAGTCCATGCAAACAATCAGTATTTACATACTTGAATAATGCAGAAGAAGAAAAAGAAACAGATGATACTTGATTGGCAAGAAGAGCCAGGACTGGTAAATGCTTTTTCCGGAACTGGCCCTGCTGGTCAGGTTATCACCAGACCAACATTTTAGCCACCTACACGTGTGTACTCCTGTGGTCAGTATGGAGGTCATGTGTAGCCGCCATATCATACACATACTGTACGGAATACAATGAAACTACCGGACCAATGAAGAACACTGCTTGGGGCGGTCGTGGCTTATTCCTGAACTTTCTCAATGTCTTGTGTGGTGTATGTGTGTGTGTGTGTGGGGGGGGGGGGGGGGGGGTGCTTGTGGCAGTGTATACGTTATACATATGCAGTGGCGTGCACCGAGTCTTGAAAGGGGGGTTTCTAGAGTTGGTAATTTTTTTCTGGGGCCCCATTGTATAATTATGTATGAATTTTGTGCACATGCGCATCCCCCGAACATACCGTCGGAGATAACGGCGAGGGCAGTCGGCTAGGGAGGAGGGAGGGGGGCCGGGACTCAAGATCAGGGGTGCAGGGCACCAATGAACACTGGTGCTGATGAGATGCGGGGCTCGTCCGACTGCTATCATCAGATCATGCCGGCACAAACGCGTCTGAGAGGGAACCAGGTACAGGGGTAGAAAGGACAGAAATAAGAATAAAGAGGAATGGAGGGAGGGGACGATGCCGGCTACATGGAAATGTTGGTACATGTATAATCGATAGCAGGATAAAACGGGTTACCTTTTTTGATAGGCCTAGCTGCCCGGGCTACACTACAGTCTATAACACTATGTCTATCAGACTATGGTACTTCACTAGTCCACTCCACTGTCTCCAGGCTTGTTTGTTTCATCAAAACACTGCTTACATTCGTCGTATCTTTCTTTCTGTTCTTATGACGAAGTTTTCAGCATGTATTGGCAATGTTCCACATGATTTCAATAGAGAGTTATGGACCTCGCTTCGATGGAAGCTCGCGGAAGAAAAGCGAAGCCCCGCGTCCTTGAGTCGCCGCCGGAGCAGCGCTTCGTTCTGAAGCAGCGCAAGTGGATCATGGACGCACATTTTTACGTCTTCCAGTCGACAACGTTTTTGACGAACATCTCTGCTGCGCACATGAGCGAGAACGAAAGGCTGTGGCGATCTTGATTTGAGTCAACGGTTTGGAAGGAGATATCGTCAATCATATCCTTGAACTGACTTGCATCGCGCGTGCTTGACTCAAATTTCGAAACAAAACGGATTTCTTGAACGTCATCGCCAATCCAGGAGCGAACCAGAGCTAGAGATCGATCCCTCCGTGGCTACTCTCCACTGAAGAAAAAGAGAATAATGTATTTCGAACTGCATGCAAAGCAACTCTCTCTCTCACTTCGAAATAAGAACATAGTCACTGTACTGTGAACTGCCCGTCGATCGATGCGTTTGCAGGATCGATAACCAATCCAGTACTACACGCTTTTCTTTTGGCAAGATTGCCCGAAAAAAGGTGGTTTCCAGACACCAAAAAACTCATACGGTGCACGCGCCTGCATATGTGTCCTGAAGGAGCGGCGGCCGGGGAATGTCTGCTTTATCACGCTACACTCACTACCTACAGTGGTCAAGGTATTGTTTGTAAGAGTGGGGAGCTTGGAAGTGCATCAAGTTCTCCATTGTTAGGCTGTTCATGAGGGCATACCTTATGCGGGGAATGCAGCTGATCAATGTCCATAGCAGGTGTTGGTATCTGGTCAGTGGCGCTCTGCTGGCAGTTGGCAGCTCTGGTTCAGACATGCCTTGTCACAAGGTGTCAACAGCTCTCTGTCTAGCAGACATGGCAGACGTCAGCCTGTCCAACTCCGCTTGGCACTGATTAGCGGAGAGTGAGCTGTGCTGTACTCGGGCTGGGAACATGCACTCTACATGAGCCCGATGTGAAGTGCGACGGGCACATCTGCAATCCATAGATGTGCTTGGCTGACGGGTAGCTCTCCCTTGAGGAATAGTGTCACGGAGCAGCGCGTGGCGCCTCCACCACTGTCAATGACCGAGCGGCTATGCATGGAACACCTTGCATGCACGTTGTGCGACGTTCTGCTCCGCTTCGATGAATACAAACACGAGCGGATTGCTAAGACCATACGGGTAGGCCTGGTAGCAGCACCGCAGGTTCTGATTTGGCGTCTACTGGAATGGCGTCTCATTTGGCCCTAGCCTCTGCCACGCGTTCCCGGCAGCTTGAAGCTGATCGCGATTTTGTGCTATGTGTCAAGGCGAACACTCCACCTCTCTTATACTATTCTTGTGCGCAGAGCATTGCCCTAGGCTGGTTCAAAGCCTGATTTTGGCATTGCCTTCAGGCTACGCAATCAAGCTGTACGAATCTTAGAGTGTTTCTCGAACTGGAGGTATGGGGGTGCGTGAGGGGGATTATTAGAGATCTGCTGTGTCCACGAAAAGACGGGAGTGACGGCTAACTTGGATTTGGTCCGTCCTACCTAAGCAGTGTTATTGGTGACCTGTATGTTGCGCTACCGCTTGGGGTTTCTTTGCTTCGAGAGCAAGTTATACCGTCAAAGCTTAGTGCGTGCAATGCTGTGCGAGCGTCTTATCTATGGGTGTGTGTGTGTGTGTGTGTGTGTGTCCACGAGCACCAGTTTCTGCGTGTGTGCATCGTATCCGAACCTCACGCTAGACTGGCTATAGTATCCGGTCGTGAAGCGTGGACCGTTAGCGGATCGGTTGTCACCTTGATTCCATTCACGGTGGCATCTGGTGGTATCGACGGATGACAGGGGGGACGCGTATCACAGGCCCATACATGGAGTGTGGAGCGTATATCGGGAATGTCCTTTAGCAGACTTTTGGGCACACTTTTTGCACCTTTTGTAGTGATGTAGATAACATGGAACATGTTTCCTTTGAAAACTTTGAAATAGAGAGAGATACGGGGAGAGAGAGAAAGAGTGTGTGTGTTTGTATGTGTGTGTGTGCGTGCGTGTGTGTGTGTGTGTGTGTGTGTGTGTGTGTGTGTGTGTGTGTGTGTGTGTGTGTGTGTGTGTGTGTGTGTGTGTGTGTGTGTGTGTGCGCGCGCGCGCGCGCGCGCAAGTGAACATTTGAGAGAGGGATACGCGGACGGAGAGACAACAAGAGAGTAGGAACTGGTGAGAGGGAGAAGAAGTGAAAAAAAGTATACGGTGAAAGAAGGATAGGTAAAGGAATATTTAAGCACAGATGGCATACGGTAGGAAACTGTGTGGAGAAGGGTAGGCATTCATCTTGCACATCAATAGCAAACGTGGTCGCAACGCACATGACCTCACGTGTTCGGGAGAGCGAAAACCCAGGACTGAACTCCAGTTCATTGCAATAGTGTCGGTTCTGTGAACCTAGCCGGTGCACTGGATCTAGTCATGCAGTACACTGCTCAGTTGAATGCTGTTATCGCCTGCGTCAGCATACCCTGTAAGTCTGCGGGCAGGGGTTTTGCTTGAGGGCCTTGTCCAGGGCTGCAGCAGGCCCCCATTGGGATCAAATGCAAGGCGTTGGTCTGGAAACAATCCGAAGTGATCTCGAATAGGACTTCACCAATGTTATAGCCATGGCATTGGCATGCTCATGAACGAATCTTAGGGGACAAAAGGTAAAGTCCATTGTGTTGCTCTAGATAAGAACAACACGTTGAAGAGCTTAGCTAGAATGTTTCATGGCAGACAAGTGGCAGATGGTTTGTGGTGGGTGGTATTTGGCCAGCCAGTATGGCCCCAAGTCTTTCCAGCGTGGTGCTATTTGCAATTTGCTCTCGAGTCCGCACACGTGCAGGCGAGGCACATCCACGTGCACATACGGACACACACGTTCGCATACACGTGCACACACGCGTACACACACCGATTCACCCAGGAGAACTGTGGAGGCGTTCAGCGATCACAATGAGCAATGGCCGTCCCCGTCCCGTCCTTCCCCAATGGTTTGTGTGCTTCGACAGTGCATGTGA